GAGCACAGAGACAAACACACACAGCCAGAGACACAGACACTGAGACAGGGACACACACACACAGACACCCACATTCACACTGAGCAGAGCATTTGTTACGCTTTGAATAAATGACTAAATAAACTTCCAGCGCTATTGCTTCAATAATAATATCACTGAACACTAGCCCACATTTACCTACCGCGTGCTGGGCACTGTTTGAAGAGCTTATTTAATCTTCACCACAACCCATAAAGGAAGTACTAGCGTTATCCCTGGTGTTCAGAGGAGGAAAATGAGGCTCAGAGAGGCTAAGCAACTCCCCGAAGGCCACACAGCAGGACGCAGACCCGGGCAGGTGGGCTCGGATTCTCCACTCTGAACCTTTCGGCAGAGCACCCGCTGTCTAACCCAGATGGCAGTGACGGCACCAGACAGACCCTACTCCCAGCCAGAGCTCAGATCCTGGAGGGGAGACGGTCACCAAAGCAAGAAACCTGTAAACTACCTCGTGGGTCCCAAAGTGATACAAGTCGGGGGTGGGTGGGGGGACAGGGAGGTACACAAGGAAGCAGACAGGGACTATGGCGCTGAGATTCAGGCAGGTGAGCAGGGAAGGCCTCCCAGAGGCCTTTGAACAAAGACTGGAAGGAGTGAGGGAGGGAGGCTGGGAACACAGGGGTGGTCAGAGCCGGCACACCCCAGAAGGAATTGCTGGGGTGGGGGCTGCCATCTGGGTAAACAGGATCCCGGCTCAGTGTGGGGAGGCTAAGAAAGGGAAGCCTGGAGCCCGTAGAGACACCCAGGGGCGCACCAAGACAGCCTGAGGAGGCAAGATGGGGGGCTTCCTGGAGGAGGCGGTGCCGGTTCATTGAGCTCTGATGTGCAACAGGTCCAGGCCGGAGTGAGGCAGGACACAGCAGGGGCACAAGAAGCAGAGGTTGGAGGGGGAAGAGGAAGGTGCCCCAGCAGAAGGCACAGCTGGGATGAAAGCCCGAGACAGGAGGGATGTCGATGGCTGAACAGGGGACCAGGGCCAAACCTGGAGGGGCCTTGAACCCCGGGCTGAGGGATGGGACTTTGTCCTGAGGGTGCTGGACCACTGGAAGGGTGGAGACAGCTCAAGGTGAGGCCTCAACTGCCGTGGCCATGAGGCTGGAGAAGAGGGAACGGGATGGAGAAGAGGGAGATGGAGGGGGCAGGGGGTTGGGGCTGAGAGCCCATCTCTGGCCCGGCAATTAGGCTGTCGCCAGTGTTGGAATCATTATTTGTTCAGAAAGGGACATCAACAGACACATCCCTCTGAGACAGGATGCCATGGAGGGGGCCCCGGGACTGTCGGGGGGCGGGGGCAGGCAGAACCCACACTTCAGCCAAGTTCAGGAGTGGATACCAGGAGGCTGCACATTACCCTCTCGGGGCACGCACAGCGGAGACACCCCTGCAGGGCCCCAGGCTGGGCGATCCAGGACCCACAGCTGAGTTCAACGTGAGCCTGCCCGGTGGGGAGACATAGGGCCCCAGGCATCTCAGGCCAGGGACCAGGACTGGGATCTTGGTCACAGGCCCAGCGGGGGGCTGGGGCGGGGGACTGGGGGGCTACAGAGCCCAAAGGATCAGTGGGAGGTCGGAGGGAAACAGCAGAATGGAATCCCAAAAACCCAAGAGGAGCAAGTCTCCACATGCCTGGGGCCCAGGCCGGGCGGCTGTGAGTGGGAGGGGAGGAGGGCAGCTGGGGCAGGGCTTGCCTGTGGTTCCATACTGCCAGTCACTGCCGACTAGACAAGTAACGGAACCTTCATGGGCCTCAGTTTTCTCACCTGCCCAATGGGAATAATAAATCTGGAGCAGCCCTAGCTGGTGTGGCTCAGTGGATAGAGCATCAACCTGCAGACTGAAGGGTCTGGGGTTCAATTCCAGTCAAGGGCACACGCCCAGGTTGTGGGCTCCATCCCCAGTGGGGAGCATGCAGGAGGCAGCCGATCCATGATTCTCTCATCATTGATGTTTTTATCTCTCACTCTCTCTCTCCCTCTCTGAAATCAGTAAAAATATATTTAAAAACAAACAAATAGATAAATATAGAGCAGTGAGCCCTAGCTGGTTTGGCCTAGTGGATAGAGTGTTGGCCTGCGGACTGAAGGGTCAAGGGTTCGATTCCGATCAAGGGCACATGCCCAGGTTGTGGACTTGATCCCCAGTAGGGGGCATGCAGAAGGCAGCTGATCAATGATATTATCTCATCATTGTTGTTTCTATCTACCTCTCCCTTCATCTCTGAAATAAATAAAAATATATTTTAAAAATATAAATCTAGAGCATCGATTTTTAATCTTTTTCATCGCACATATCAAGGACTAAAATTCTGCACACCATAAAATATATGATGCTAGCCAAAACCAGTCTGGCTCAGTGGATAGAGCATCGGACTAAAGGATCCCGGGTTTGATTCCGGTCAGGGGCATGTACCTTGGTTTTGGGCATATCCCCAGTGGGAGGTGTGAAAGGGGCAGCTGATCGATGACTCTCTCTCATCGATGTTTCTAACTCTCTATCTCTCTCTTCCTCTCTGTAAAAAATCAATAAAAAATATATATTTAAAAAAATTATGATGCTTTTTGCCGACCTGACAAAAAAAAAATTGGACTCATTCACATTGGATGGCTAGTGATGTGTTGGCTGTTGTCATTTTTTTTTTTTTTTTGACAGTCTAATCAGTGCTCTAAAAGTTCTGGCGGCACAGCAGGGAGCCTGGCACCCTGGTTGGAAACGCTGGCCTGGAGGATGCTGAAAGGACTAAATGGGCTCATCTCAGCCCAGGACTTAGAATGCTGCCCGGTGAACAAATAATATCGCCCAAAGGTGAGCTATTATAATCACTAACGTTTTCACACCCCAACCTGACGGGCCCCAGGGATCCACCCGCCTGAGGCCTCCAGCACGCCAGGTCCTGTGCGGGGCGATGCTGGGGACACTGAGGCAGGCTCCCGGTCTGCTGTGGGGGGGTGAGGGGCAGGGGGACAGGACAGGTACTGAAAGGAAGTGGCCTGGGGCAGTGTGTCTGATTCTCGCCTCTGTCCACACCGGCTTCTCTCTGGGTACCAGCCAGGCGCTCGGAGAGACGTCCCCAAACCGGTCTCCTGGAGGATGTGAGCCATCCCACCAACTGATCAGACTGGCTTCCGACTCCAGGGGGCACTTCTCCCTCCTCTCCAGCTCTGCGGGTTCCCTCGGCACCTGGCCTGAGCTCCAGGGCAGCTGGATTCCTGTTCTGTGGTACAGTCCACAGTCCGTGGGGTGTGCAATGCCGCCCGGCGGGGGAAGCATGGCTTGTGTGCAGGGCACCGTCCTGGGTGAGGAGTACACGGAGCTGGAAGGGAATCCCGGCCCCGCCCCTTCCCGGCTCAGGGGCCGCTCCGTGCCTCGGTTTCTCCACGTGTTAAGCAGGGAGCACGACTCCACCAGCGTCAGAAAAATAAGAGGCGGTAGCTCGCTCTGCACGCAATGATCAAGGCAGTGAGTTCAGAAGCGGAGGAAAGGAAACGGGGTCGATCGGCAGTTAGACCTCACAATCGCTCGATCTTTGCCCTCAGGTGTGACTTTGACGTGGGGGGGGGGGGGGGTTAGAGGGCAGAGATCAGACGTTACGAGAAGATACCCTACACAAGGTGCGCTCGTGACCCCGGAAGCACACGGCCGCGGGGCACGGGGAAGGTGGGAGAAGGGGGAGCCCGGTCACCTTCACGGCGAAGTCGATGACCCTCTTGACAGCCACCAGCGCGCGCAGCTCCGCCATCTTCCAGCCGCGGCCACCTGCGGGGTCAGGCCGCACCCTCCGGCCCTAGGCCCCGAGGCCCCGCCCCCTCGCCCTGCTCTGCGCCTGCGCCCGGGCCGCCAGCCAGTCAACTCGGCGGTGCCCGCCTCCGCCCAACAAAGGACCAATCGGAAGGCCGGGCGAGGGAGGTGTGTCAAACGGCTGCGGGCCAATGGGAAGCGGGCTCCAGAGAGAGAGGCGGAACCCGGCGGGTAAGGGACACTGGCTTGGAGAAGGGGGCGTGGCCGGGAACTAGGGGAAAGGTCGGTTCCGGGGGAGGGAGCGGAGGAGGGAAGGCGCCAGTCGTTCCAAACTTTTCCTCGCGTCCTCCGATCTACCCCTGCCCCAGTTCCCTGGGTCTTCCTCGCCTCTCAAAGTCGCAGCGCACGTATCCCCACGCCCACTCCGAGCCGATGTCCCCACGCCCCTGGATCCTCCCGCGTTTGCTCTGCATCTTCCCCATATACCCCGTGTCCTCGTCCCCCTCCACATCCATGTGTTTTTTAAATATATATATTTTTACTGATTTTTTACAGAGAGGAAGGGAGAGGGATAGAAAGCTAGAAACATCGATGAGAGAGAAACATCGACCAACTGCCTCTTGCACACCTCCCACTGGGGATGTGCCCGCAACCAAGGTGCATGCCCTTGACCAGAATCGAACCTGGAACCTTTCACTCCGCAGGCTGACGCTCTATCCACTAAGCCAATCCGGTTTCGGCTGGGGTTTTTTGTTTTGTTTTGTTTTGCTTTTGTTTTGTTAATCCTCACCCGAGAGAGGCAGGGGGAGAGACAAAGAAGAGAGAAACATGGATATGAGACACCTCGATTGGTCGCCTCCCGCACGCACCCAGCTCTGGGCTGGAGATCTAGCCTGCAACCGAGATTCCTGCCCTTGACCGGAATCATCAATCCGCGGGCCGGCGCTCTAGCCACTGAGCCACATCAGCGACGGCCGCACCCTTGTCCTTTGTCCACTCCATGTTCGTGTCTCCATGCCGTGCCCCCCCCCCCGCCCCAGGGATCCATATTCCCTATAGGTTTATGTCCTTGTATGTCCTCCCTGAATCTCTATGGACCCCCGTTGTCCCGGGTCCCCGTGTTCTTCGCTGTCACGCTCCCACGTGTGTGCCTGTCGCCCGTGCCCGAGTCCTCACATCCCAAAGGAAGGCAGGCGGGGCCAGCGGGGGAAGCTGAGCGGTTCCTTTTATTCTGCTCCAGGCCGGATGCCACCCGGGAACCCCCTGTTGGCATCTGTGCTCTGCAGGATGATGTCCGGCAGCAGAAAGCAGAAGCCCGGCCGGGAGGGAGGGAGAGGAGCGCGCCTGGAGGAGGTGGGGAGGGGAGGAGGTCCAGGGGCCTGGGGTTTGGGGCTCCTAGGGCATTTCTGTGGGGGGTCTGTGAAAGCCGGGAGTGGAGTATATTGGGGAGTTCCCTCCTGGGAGGTGACAGTGGGGTTTCCTGGAAGGGCGGCTGGGGAGTCTTGGTGCGGGGAGGAGGGTCCCCCGGATATTCCCCTCCATCCCCTTCCGGCTGACCGAGTTACCCGCGAGAATATAGGACGGCACAGCCAGCCACCCCGAAAAATAGGACCAGGAGAAGGAGACGTTGCTTTTCCTCACGTACTTCAATGTGTAGCAGGTGAGGGCGATCAGCAGCAGGAGGCCTGCTCCCGCCCACCCGCCGGATCAGCGTGGCCTGCGGGGCGGCGGCGAGGCGGGGGCTGCCCCCAGGCCCCACCCAGATCTCCCCCATCGCCCTGGTCACGCCCCCACCTCTCTGACCACGCCTCCACCTCCATGACCACGCCCCTCCGGACCTCTCAGCTGGAGAAGACCTCGCCCAGCTCCTCCTCCAGGTCCCGCCCCCTGACCCCACCCTCTCTGGCTGTGTTCCTCCTTGGGGTCGCCAGCCCCCCTCCTTGGCTCCCTCTCCAAGGCCCTGAGTCCAGACCCGTGTACCCCTGCACCCCTGGATCCCTGGGGCTGGTGGGGGTGGAGGGGGCTGATACAGGCCCGGGGGTGGCCCTCCAGACACAGGATGCGCAGCGCCATCACCAAGCCCACGAGGCCAAAGGCGGCCTCTGCACCATGCACGCCCCGTCACTTCCAGCGTGGCTGGGGAGAGCCGCCAGCCGCCTCAGCCCCGCGCAGCGCCCCCTGCTGGCCACCGCCCGCCCCCACCCCCTGGCGCAGGGCTGGCAGCAGAGTCGGGGGTTTGGAAGTTGTCAGGGGGGAAAGTTGTCATGTTGGTAGGGGCAGCTAGATCTGAGGCTGTGGGGCGGCCCCCCCCCCCGGGGGAGGGACCGGAGGAGAGGCCGGCTGCGGTCAGTGCTGGGGCGGTCTGGGTCGTGGGGGCCGGGGTTGGGGGTGGGAGGTCTGACACCATCCGGAAGGCCTGGGCCTCACACTCGCAGGGCGTTTTGTAGCAGGTGCCCTGGGTGCAGTCCTGCCACAGGCTGCCGTGCCCCGAGGGGAAGCGGATCCACTGGTTGGTGGCCCTGGAGGGCACCGCGGAGGTGCTGGCCAGGAAGCCCAGCAGGATGCCCGCGCTGGAGACTCCGCTTCACCCCCATGCCCCGGAGGCTGCTGCGGAGGGCCACGCACAGGCTGCATTGGCCAACACCCTCCCACCCCCCTGAGAGCCCCTGCCACCCCCCCTTAGCCCCTCCCACCCCCTGAGAGGCCCTCCCACTCCCCTTAGCCCCTCCCACCCTTGAGAGCTCCTCCCACCCCCCTCAGCCCCTCCCAGCCCCTCAGAGCCCCTGCCACCCCCTGAGAGCCCCTCCCACTCCCCTTAGCCCCTCCCACCCCCTGAGAGCCCCTCCCACCCCTCAGAGCCCCTCCCACTCCCTCAGAGCCCCTCCCACCCCCCTGAGAGCCCCTCCCACTCCCTCAGAGCCCCTCCCACCCCCTGAGAGCCCCTCCCACTCCCTCAGAGCCCCTCCCACCCCCTGAGAGCCCCTCCCACTCCCTCAGAGCCCCTCCCACCCCCTGAGAGCCCCTCCCACTCCCTCAGAGCCCCTCCCACCCCTGAGAGCCCCTCCCACTCCCTCAGAGCCCCTCCCACCCCCCTGAGAGCCCCTCCCACTCCCCTGAGCCCCTCCCACCCCCCTGAGAGCCCCTACTACCCTCTGAGAGCACCTCCCACTCCCTCAGAGCCCCTCCCACCCCCCTCAGCCCCTGCCACCCCCTGAGAGCCCCTCCCACCCCTTTAGCCCCTCCCACCCCTGAGAGGCCCTCCCACTCCCCTTAGCCCCTCCCACCCCTGAGAGCTCCTCCCACTCCCCTGAGCCCCTCCCACCCCCTGAGAGCCCCTGCCACCCCCTTTAGCCCCTGCCATCCCCCTTAGTCCCCCCACCTCCCTGAGAGCCCCTCCCACCCCCTGAGAGCCCCTCCCACTCCCTTAGCCCCTCCCACCCCCTGAAAGCCCCGCCCACCCCCTGAGACTCCTCCCACATGTCTCTCCATGTCCCTGCCCGCTGCACCAGCACCCCTGCCTGGGACCACTGCTTCTGGGGACCTGCAGGTGCCCTCTTTTGCCCCCCTCCATGCTGCAGGCCCTTGCCCCAGCACCCCTGCCTGAGACGGTGAGACCTTCCCCCCAGGAGTGAATGATCAGGATCCCCCCTGCCTTCCAGAGACCTCCATCACCCAGTGGGATGTCCCTTTGTCCAGTTCAGGGTGCTCTCCACACCGCACCCGGACACCACCCCCTTGTGTGACTCACTGCCAGCCCCCAGGGCTTCCTAGAAGCGGGGTGCAGAGGGAGGCTGGGTCAGGCTCTGTGAGGCAGCAGGAGTTCCAGAACCCCCTCTCCCAGCGGCCATTTAAAGAGATAAGCACCACCCACCCGTCCACCCAGGCACGTCCCAGCAAAGTGACAGCTCAAAGCCGGTGGTAGGTCTGTGGGGAGCTTGAGGCCCAGGCCATGATACACCACATCCTCCTAAAAACGTCGCTTCTCTTGACCCATGAGCACCCCTAACCCCCAGATCTGAACGGGCCTCCCAGGCTGTGCCCTTGACCGGAATTGAACCCGGGACCCTTCAGGCCGCAGGCTGACGCTCCATCCAGTGAGCCAAACTGGCCAGGGCTCCAAGCGGGTTTCTACCAGGTGACTGCCGACAGCCCCTCCTGAGCCCTGGCCGCCGTTCCAGGGCTTCTGTTCGGTTCTGTCCTCCAGACTTCCACCAGGGGAGTCACAGGGCGTGAGCTGGGGCTTCAGGGCGCTCAGAGGGAGCAGGACGCAGCAAGCAGGACAGCCCACGCCAGACGGGAGGGTGGGGCGGTGGAGACGGTAGATCATTGTTAAAAGGATCAGTGGATAGAGCATCAGCCTGCAGACTGAAGGGTTCCGGGTTCTATTCCGGTCAAGGGCATGTACCTTGGTTGCGGGCACATCCCCAGTAGGGGGTGTGTAAGAGGCAGCTGATCCATGATTCTCTCTCATCAATGTTTCTAACTATCCCTCTCTCTTCCTCTCTGTAAAAAAATCAATTATATATATATATATATATATTTTAAAAGGATGAATAAACAAATCGTTGAAAGGATAAACAAACAAACGATGGGCCTATGGAAGGGCTGGGGGTGAGGGCCGAGGGATGGCCAGGTGGCCCCATGGCTCGGGATGAGGCTGGGGATGATGCTTTCCAATCCACCTGCTGTCCTCCCCCGCCCCCCCCCCCCCCCCGCTCCCATGTGGGGCTCACACTTGGTCATAGCCCGGCTGAGGGGCGCAGGAGTGAGCGGTCTGACCCAGGCTCCCTGGGGTGGCAGAGGGAGGTTAGCGCTTGCCCCCGCCCCCACCTGCTCCTAACCCCCAGATCTGACTGTGCCTCCCAGGGCACATTTGTGTGTGTCTCTGTCCACCCCCACTTCCCCCCCCCTAGGCTGCTGCCCTTCCTGCCCCCTGCATCCTGTACCTTCTCCCAGCCAGCTTCCTCTAACGGCTTCCGTGGCCATGATGCTCTGAGGCCCTCCCAGACTCCATCTCTCTCCCGAACCTTGGACCGGAGTCCTCACCTACTCCTGGCGGTCTCCCGCACTCAGCTCCTCCCACCGGAGCTCAGCCTCTTCCACCAAACCAGGAGCGACCGCCCCCCATCTCACCCCTGGGCACTGTCCTTGCCCCCTTCTTGCTCTTCACCCCACAAGGCCCTCGGACCCCCCAGGCCGGTTCCTCCTGCTCCCTGACTCTTTCTGGCTACCTCCCCTCCTTCCCGCCTCATGCCCTGTCCCCTGTCGGCCCTGGTCCTCACTCATGTCCTACCTGTTGGTTGCATTGCCAAGCTCCTTTCCCCCTCTCTGCCTCTCCGGGATTGAACCCATGGCACTGAGAGGGCTTGCTGGCACTGGGGAGCTGGCACTGTCCCAGCCCTGCTCTGCTCCTGGCTCCCCAGCCCCCCCTGAGAGGAAGTCAGTTGTGGCTTTAAGGGATCTAGCTCCTACCCACCACTCCATTCTCATTTTTTATCTCCCACCCCACATCCCACTTCCAGCCTTTGCATGCCTCTGCCTCGGCATCCTTCCTCCTGGGTTACCTTTCCCTGGCCCCCAAGAAGTCCCTAAACATCCCTCCCCAGAGAGCTCACCTCCACACCCTCCCCTCCCCAACGACACCATCACCCTCTGTCCCACATCCTTCCTGGGCTGCGCCTGTCCCCTGGCCTGTGTTACCTCCCCTCCCCCACTTGACTTGCAGCCCCCACCCCCTCCCAGTGGTGGGCATCACCAGGCTCTGACTCCTGCCAGCGACCTCAGCCCCCAGCGAGACCCAGCAGAAAGGAAGTGCTTGGGGAAAGCCCGCAGAAGGAGAGAGTGAATGACTGAAAGGAGCAAGGACAGTGGTCGGCAAACTCATGAGTCCACAGAGACAAGTATCCACAGTGCAACGATGGACATGTCTTCTGAGAGCCACATATTTTTTAAGCCGAAACTCCTTCGAACGCCACTGCTTCCACATAGACTCGCCCAGGCCGTGGCGTTTTGTGGAAGAGCCACACACACTCAAGGGGCCAAAGAGCCGCCTGTGGCTCGCGAGCCGCGGTTTGCCCACCACGGAGCAAGGAGAGCGTCAGTGCAGGTGAAGGGCTGAGAGGGAGTGAGGAGGAACGTGCTGGAGTCAGAGAGGCATAGGGAAGAGCAGAGAAAGGAGGACGAAAAAGGGAGATGGAAACAGAAGACAGACAACGGCTAGAGAGGGGTGGGGGGAGAGGATGTGGGAAGTGCATTCCCTCTGGGTGGGAGCCCTCGGAGAGCCGGTAGAGGTTTTGGATTCCCTTCTGCGCACCCCCTCACCCCCATCCCGTGTCGCCCACCAGAGGAGCTGGCGTTGCCATCAGCTTGTGTCGTGGTCGAAATAATCTCAGAAACAACCAGACTGTCAGACGGTTTCTTATGTGTACACGTCAGCAATGATATTTCAGTTCTGGGTGGTGGGCAAATGGTGGTAATGCAGGTCCGACCCTCTCTGGTTTTGGTCCTGGGCAACCTGCAGTGACACACAGCTGCTGACTTGCTATTATGGGAAATTGGGTCTCAAAAGAACCGATGGCCCAGAAAGAAGCTCACTGATTCATATGCCTTTCAGCATAACGATGATTGCTTGTCTCAATTTTGATTCTTATATTTCCAGTAGGACATGATCTCGCTCATCTGGGGGAAATGGTGAACAACATAGGCTGATGAACAAGAACAGACCCAGAGATGAGGAGCCATGGGTCACACTGCTGGACCTCAGAGGGAGGGTGGGGATAAAAGGGAGAGATCGGCCAAAGGACTTGTGTGCACCCAGATGAGTCTAACAATACGGGGGTGGGGGCATAAGTGGGGGTGGGGAGTGGGGGATTGAAATGGGGGATTGAGGACAAATATGTGATACCTTAATCAATAAAGAAATTAATAATAATAATAAAAAAACAGCAGCAACAACCAGACTGTGGCAAATCGTTGTTGAAAGGATGAACAAACAGACAATGGGGCTATGGAAGGGCTGGGGGGAAGGGCCGAGGGACAGCCAGGTGGCCCCATGGCTCCGGATGAGGCTTGGATGATGCTTTTCCAACCCACCTGCTGTCCTCCCCTCCGGCTCCCACGTGGGGCTCACACTTGGTCGTAGCCAGCCCGAGGGCTACGGGTGTAAGCGAGGTGACCCATGATCCCTGGGGTGGCAGAGGGAGGTGGGTTATCACTTGCCCCCCGCGCCCCCCACCATCTGCTCTCACACCTTCTTCCCCCCACCCCACCCCCAGTGGGCCCTCCCGAACTTCCCGGGGCAACAGTCACCTGCAATGATCCAGAGAGGAAACGAAACCCAGCCCAGGTAGAAGGACCAGGAGAAGAAGAACTGGATCTGGGGGTGTTGGCGGCTCCACTGATGACCGTTGTAGACAGACATGGCCACCAGCATGAACAAGGCTGAGGCGAGAGACGACGAGGAAGACTGCTCAGCCCCTCTGCGAGGAATGCACAGTCCCCAAGGCCCGCGGGCGGTTCCAGGTTCCTTACCTGCGATAGAGGCCAGGATGGCCGCCACCCGGGGGCTGTGCATCCGGGCAGACAGCGAGGAGACGTAGGACAGGCCCAGGAGGACCATGGACACCAGGCCGCTCAGGGCGGCTAGGATGCTGAAGGCCTCGGTCACACGGATGAAGCCTGCTCAGAGAGGAGACCTCTGGGGGCCCGTCCCCTCTGGCTCTTCTCCCCTGCCCCCCAGACAAGGCACACCACGACCCCCCCCCCCCCCCGATTACCTGGCACAAACTGGAGATCCACCTTCGGCCAGATGCCCGCGTGAGCCGAAAAGCCGGGCCCGACGGCCTCGAACCAGTAATCCGTGCTCAGAGCAACCAGGGCAAAGACCAGGGCCAGGGTGTCGGCCAGCAGGGCCAGGGTCCGAAAGGGCTCCATGGGGGAAGGGGGTGAGCGCTGGGTTCCTTGGGTCTCTGTGAGAGAAGAGGCTATGGATCCAGACTCCTGGGTCCTCTGAGGTCCCCCCGCCCCCGCCCAAAAAACACGAGGAAGCCAGCAAGCAGCTGAAGCAAGTCGGGAGTCGGGGGTGATGCTGGGGTGCTGGGGGCCTGGGCTCCTTAAGACCAGACCGGCTCTGTTTCACCCGCTTCAGTTCCTGGCAACGGATTCTCACACGCCCTCCCTTCCTGGGTTGTAACGATAAGGCCACCCCTCCCCGAGGTCCCGGACCACCCCCTCCCCCACTCACAGAGTCTGGTGGGGAAGGGTGTCATCTGTGGTTTGGTCAGTGGTTCAGAGCCTGCCTTGCTGCTTGCTGTCTCGGGTTCTGTAGCTCTCCTCCTCGGAGCCTTGCTCAACACCAGAGGCGGGGCGAGGGCTGGAGTGTGGGGGGTGGGGGTGGGGGGCTTCCCGGAAGAGACCACAGAGAGGCTTGGGGGATCAGAGGTGGGGTTGGCTCACGAGGCCAGGGTGTGAGTTCAATGGGGGGCGGGATGTGGCCGCACGGGACAGTTGGGGGATGTGTCACGTTTTCCTGTGGGTGCTGCAACCTTCCGTTCTGGGAAAGGGAGGCCCCCCACCCTAAGGTCTCCAGGACACCTGGGGCCGAGGGAGAAAGGAGCTGGGGGCCAGGTCCGGAGGGAGGGAGCGGTGGGTGGGCAGAGGGGCAGGTTCCCGGGCCCCTGCTTGCAGCGTGTGCTCAGGGGCAGGCAGAAGAAGGTAGAGCATCACAACTGTAAACATCTGTGGGGGGAGAAAACACACCCACATCCTCCTCGGGTGGGTGAGTTCACACAGCTCAGCTCTGAGCACGGCCAGCTCGATCAGGAGGCTCCCAGTACCTGCACCGCTAATGCCAGCTCCAACCCCAATATTTCCCAAACCAGCGCTTCACCAATCCCGTCCCAACCCCAAATAACAACCCATCTCTTAACCCCAGCTCCAGCCCCTGATTTAACGCCCTCCCTATCCCACAGCCTGACCCCATTCTTATTGGCACGCCCAACCCCAAACTCATCCCATCCCCATCTACAGACCCAAGCCCATCCTCATCCTGAGACTTAACCCTACCCGCATTGCCTTCCCCACACCAGGCTGTTTCCAATCCCAGCCCCAGCCCCAGTCCTACATCCACTTCCTTCTTCATACTTCCCCCTGCCCCCCCCCCAGGCCCTATAAGTCCTACCTCACCTTCACCCCATTTCATGTCCATCCCATTTCCAAGTTCAAGGCTGTAACCCTGTTTCTCATCTCCCTAAGTCCCACCATCGTCAAGGACCAAAGAAAGCTTGACCTTGCTGAGTCCTGGGAGGGAGTCTCCTGTCTTCTAGGTGTCTCTGTGTACCTGGAGTCCTTAGGCCACACCAGATAGCTTATGCTATCAATGTGGCAGGGGGAGCAGGTGTCTACTATATCAGTTTGACCCCTGGAGACGCTGGGAACAGAATAACTAAGGCCAGACATGGGGGAGCTTCTTGCCTGACCTCCCTGGACACTGGGGTTTGGGTGAACTTCTCCTGTTGGCAGGACTTGGTGGGTGTCCTCACGCACTATTGTTGGGAGAAGTGAAGTGCTGTCCGTACGACACCACTGAGGGAGACAGCTGGGACCTGGTGCCTGATCTCACCTGGGTGCCGCTCCTTCCATTACATGTCACGGTATAATCAACATCGGTTTATTTTTATTTTTTTAAATATATTTTATTGATTTTTTTTACAGAGAGAAAGAGAGAGGGATAGAGCATTAGAAACATCGATGAGAGAGAATCATCGTTCAGCTGCCTCTTGCACACCCTCTACTGGGGATGTGCCCGCAACCAAGGTACATGCCCTTGGCCGGAATTGAACCTGGGACCTTTCAGTCCACAGGCCGACGCTCTATCCACTGAGCCAAACCAGTTTCGACAACATCAGTTTATTTGGGTGAACGAGTGGATGAAGACAAGGTCAAGCTCATGAATAGTAGGTGAAGAGGTGGGTGAAGGAGGTGAAGGGTCAGCGTTCTGGAGCTCATTGGGGAGGGAAGAGGACGTTGGGAGAGCCAACTAGAGATGGGGGGGGGGGGACGCGCAGGTGGACGAGCAAGCTAGTTTGTCTTCTTTCCCCCCCCCCCACTGAGCTCTATTTATCCTATTATCCTACTGTGATACTGTGATTTATAATAAGAAATATACCCTGAGTGGCCAGATTATTATGATTGCTGTAATAAATTAACTGTGAGCTGCTATAAGTCCTTCTAGCAATGCATTGAACCCAAGGGTAGCCTTTGGGACCCCTGAACTATAGTGAGTGGAGGGGGATTAAGTCAGAGAGTTAGCAGGGCCAGAACACGTGGCATTTTGATAGACTTTAGTTGTTTTTTGTTTTTGTTTTTTTAGCCTGAGATCGGAGCCACTGGAGGGCTTAGAGTGGGAGTGACATGATTTCTTTTTTGTTGTTGTCATCACCTGAGGATATTTTTTTCCCCATTGATTTTTAGAGAAAGTGGAAGGGAATGAAGAGAGGAGAGAGAAACATTGATGTAAGACAGACACCGTGCAGACGCCAGCACAGCCAAGGGTTCGGCGAGCCTGAGGGAGGGCCGGCGAAGGATGAAGAAAAGACAGACAAAGAGAATGAGCTGGGTCTAGGTGGATCTCCTGTGCCTGTCTGAGGCCACAGAACAGATCCAGAAGGCAAGCTGAGCCTTTATTTTATAGCCAGAGGTAAACAAGGTAGTGGTCACCATAGTTATAGTGTTCTTTGTTAGTTTCACTTGTTTTGGCAGCAGCTGCTGCCCCTCCCACAGCCCATTCGCTACCCAGGAAGGATCTGGGTAGAGTCATAAGGTCAAGCTTAATGATGCTAAGAGGGCTGTGCCCTCCAAGCTGGGACTTGTTTTTGGCTTTGCCAACAGGTCAGTCAGAGGCTTAACCCTATAACCGCTCCCTTCAAGACACATTGATTCTTTACCTTCTGCAACCCAGGAACTTGCCCTTTAACAAGAATCGAACTCACGCCCTAGCTGGTTTGGCTCAGTGGCTAGAGATTGGTCTTCGGACTCAAGGGTCCCAGGTTCAATTCCTGTCAAGGGCATGTACCTTGATTGCAGGCATATCCCCAGTAGGGGGTATGCAGGAGGCAGCTGATCGATGTTTCTCTCTCATCGATGTTTCTAACTCTCTCTTCCTCTCCCTTCCTCTCTCTCAGAAACCAATAAAATATATTAAAAAAAAGAAAGAAAAAAGAATAGAACTCGCCACCCTTTGGTATGCAAGCCAATGCCCTAGCCACATAGGAGCACCGGCCAGGGCAGGCGTGACATGATTTTAATGAATAGTTCTCCAGGTGCTGCATAGAAAATGGACTGTAGGTGGAGGAGGGCAGGCGGGGTAAAGGCAGAGCTGGTTAGGAGATGTGGCACTAAGCCAGGTGACAGACGGCGCACAGAAGGGAGGTGGCTCGCATTAAAATGTGTCAAATCCCCAAACACATTTTAAAGGCGGAGCTGACACCATCGGCTGATGAACCAGATGTGGAATGTAACAAAGCAGCCGAGAATGATCCCAACGTGAGTGCGTGCGTGTGTGTGCATATGTGTGTCTGTGTGTGTGTGTGTGTGTGCGTGTGTGTGTGTGTGTGTGTGTGTGTGTGTGTATGGCTTGAGCAGCTGTATGAATATGGACTGTGGTTTACTGAGATGGGGAGACCATGGAAGGAGCAGGCGTGGGGTGTGAGAGGGACCTGGAAATCGGCGTCAGGTATGTGAGGCGTGAGATGCCTCTTCTTTTTCGAGCGGAACGGCTGCGTAAGGCGTTGGAGATGAGAGTCTGTGGTCACAGCATCATCATTGCCGGAGTAAGCCTATAAATACGATTCCTGGAATAAGCCTCAGGAACCAGAGAAGGCCTCGATTGCCATTCTTTCTGGACGATGCCTCTATAAACATAGCGTTATTGTGATTGGAGGAGGCCCCAATAAATCTCCGGTCTAGGGAGTCAGCCTCGATGACTATAGCCTAGATGGTGATAAATATTACTGGACTTGCCCTGGCTTAATAGTCCTATTATTTTATGATTGGCATCAGTACATGTCATAGTAAATCAACATCAGTTTATTGGGTGAACGAGTGGATGAAGACAAGGTCAAGCTCATGAATAGTGGGTGAAGAGGTGGGTGAAGGAGGTGAAGGGTCAGGGTCTGGAGCCCATTGGGGAAGGGAGAGGAGGTTGGAAGAGCCAACTGGAGGTGGGGGGGGGGGGGCAGGGGGACAAGGAAGAAGTTTGTTTGTTTCCTCCCCCCCCACCCCAGGTCTTTATCTATCCTACTAGAGGCCCGGTGCATGAAATTTGTGCATGGGGTGGGGGTGTATGTCCCACAGCCCAGCCTGCACCCTCTCCAATCTGGGACCCCTCAAGGGATGTCCGACTGTCCACTTAGGCCCGATCCCTCTCACAATCCAGGATTGCTGGCTTCCAACCACTCGCCTGCCTGCCTGACTTGATTGCCCCTAACTGCTTCTACCTGACAGCCTGATCACCCGCTAACCTCTCCCCTGCCAGCCTAATCGATGCCTACCTGCTCCCCTGCTGGCCCTATTGCCCTAACTGCCCTCCCCTGCTGGCCTGGTCACCCCTAACTGCCCTCCCTTACCAGCCTGCTCACCCCCAACTGCCAACCGCTGCAGGCCTGGTTGCCCCCAACTACCCTCCCTTGCAGGCCTGGTTACCCCCATCTGCCTTCCCCTGTAGGCCTGGTCACTCCCAACTGTCCTCCCCTACAGGCCTGGTCCCCCCCCAGATGCTCTCCCTTGCTGGCCCAGTCACCCCTAACTACCCTCCCCTGCTGGCCTGATCATCCACAACTGCCCTCCCCTGCAGGCCAGTTTGTGGTGGCCATCTTTGACCACATGAGGGTGACCATCTTCTGTGTTGGAGTGATGGTCAATTTGTGTATTATCTCTTTATTATTTTCCTACTGTGATAGTGTGATTTCTAATAAGAAATATGTATTTGGTCTGGGTCCTGATTATGACAGCTCCTAAAAGCACAGGAATTTCCCAAGTCACGAAAGCCATTAAGGGGCAAATGAGGTAACTTTCGAACCCCACTTAAGGGATGGGGGAACAGTTTTCGGGGAAGCCAACCATGTGATTAGAGGGTTGGAACCCTCAGTCCCAGCCCCTGACCTCTGGGGAGGAGAAAGGAGCCGGAGTTTGAGTTCACGCACCAATGGCCAAAGATTTCATCAACCACACGTGTGTCATGCAGCCTCCTTGGGGAGTTCCAGGGGTGGTGAACCCTAGGAGATTTGGGGAGAGACTGGTGACTTCAGAGAGGACAGAGAAGCTCTGAGTTCCTTCCCCACATCTGGCCCTCTGCATCTCTCCCATCTGGCTGCTTCTGCATTATGTCCTTCTATAATAAACCAGCAGCCGAAACCGGTTTGGCTCAGTGGATAGAGCGTCGGCCTGCAGACTGAAGGGTCCCAGGTTCAATTCCGGTCAAGGGCATGTACCTTGGTAGGGGGCACATCCCCAGTAGGGGGTGTGCAGGAGGCAACTGATCGATGTTTCTCTCTCATGGATGTTTCTAACTCTCTATCCCTCTCTCTTCCTCTCTGTAAAACATCAATAAAATATATTAAAAGTAAATAAATAAATACACCAGCGATGTAGCAAGTAGCATGTTTCCCTGGGCTCTGTGAGCATCCCTAGGGAGGGGGTCATGGGAACCTCCAACCTATCGTGGGTGATCAGAAGCCACACGGGTGACATCCTGGACTGTGGTCGACCTCTGAAGAGGGGGTTGAGGGGGTACAGTCTTGGAGGACTGAGCCTTTAACCTGTGGGATCTGAGAGTGCCCCCAGGTAGACAATGACCGAATGGAGTTCATTGCTTGGTGGCGTGAGGAGGAAGAAAGGATACACGTTGGAATTGCTGTCAGAAGGGAACCCACACAACCAACCGTCTCCTGGAAGTAGAATTGTCATGTGTGGGGACTGTGTGATGGATCTCTGTCCCCGTGTCTACAGAAACAGCAGGTTGGGTTGCCATCACCACCACCCCCAACCCCATCCACCACACTCACCCCCACTCCCCTCAGGGAGGGAGTCACCCTGGGGTGGTTTCACATCAGTTTATTAGACTCCAAAAAAAACGCTCTAATGGATATCCCATTTCTCAAACACCCCCCACCCCTCCCACGGGTGGAGCCTTGAGTCTTCCCAGGTCCTTCCCACCAGGCCCCATTCTTTCTCCTTCCACCTGGGACTCAGGAGTCAGGACCCCACCCCCACCCCCCACCCACGCAGAGTCCAGGACCGAGACCCCCTCATGCCCCCGGGAAACCAGCATTTCAGGCCTCTAGCCCCGCCCCTCCTCTTCAATGACCTCATTTTTAACTTCCCCGTGGAGTTGGTGGACACATCGGGGCTCAGCGGGGCGTGGATGGGCGCCGACACTCCTTCATCCGGTAGGCACACATGTAGAAAATTCCTGTGCGAGAAAAGGTCCCAATGGACGCCCCCCACTCCCTACCCTCCACCCCTCAACCCCCGCCAAGCCCCCTGGGTATCCACAGGATCTGGAGTCTGCCTTCTGTCTGGGTGCTGGGAGCCCACGGGAGATCCCCTATCTTCTTGCCCTGGGGAGTAGGCTTGCTCATCTGGACACTGCCCTCCCCACCCCCCAAGGCCAGGTACCTGCAAAGAAGGTCATGAGCAAGGCCACCCAGCCCAGGATGTACGACCAGGAGAAGCGCCAGTCTCCGAAACGGCGGCCGAAAAAGCTCACGGTGACGCCGGTGTAAATGGCCAAGGCCAGCAGCACAAAAATAGCTGGGGAAGAGCATGGGGTGGACACAGGGATGAAGTTGGGCTTGGAGACTGGGGGGTGGACGTGAGATTGAGGGAAGAGGTAAAGTAAGGTAGGGTAGGGTAGAGGACGGTGGGTGGAGTGGGTGGGTGGGGATCTGGGGAGGACAGGGTTGAGTGGAACGAGGGAGGACAGGTGGACAGGGAGGGGTGGGTGGGGCTGGGATGGAGGTGGGGCGGGGCTGTGCTGTAGAGAATCTGCCTGGTCTTTGTCTCTGCCTCCCAGGGAGGACGTCACATCCTCGGAGCTTCCTGAGTGGGGCGTGTCTTTGCCATTGTGGAGCCTCTGGGATCACACCTGTGGCTGAGCAGGGATGACTCAGGGTGGGAGCTGGTCGCCAGGAAGACCAGCCACCGGAACCGAAAGTTGAGGCTCTGAGCTGGCTGGTTGATATCGGCCACCCTCTGGGGAGGGGAGCGGGGAGGAGGCTGAGTTTGATCACAGGGTCAGTGAGTCAATCACTGGACGCCAAGTGCTGGGAGCTTCCTGGTTGCTGAACAGAACACGAGGGTGTGCGGGGTGGGAAGGGGGGAGAGGGAGGTCCCCTCTCAGGTATCTCCTTCTGCATCTGTTTATTTGGCTGGTCTTGAGTGGATCCTTTATAACAGGGGCGGGGGGGGGGGGGGGAGAGAACTTGTTTTCTGCCAAGGGCCATTTGGTTGTGTATAAATCATTCTCAGGCCATACAAAATTATCAGCTTAAAAACTAGCCTGCTTGCCCTGGCCGGTTTGGCTCAGTGGATAGAGCGTTGGTCTGAGGACTGAAAGGTCCCAGGTTCGATTCTGGTCAAGGGCATGTACCTTGGTTGCAGGCACATCCCCAATGGGGGGTATGCAGGAGGCAACAGATTGATATTTCTAACTCTCTCTCCCTCTCCCTCTCCCTTCCTTTCTGTAAAAAAATCAATAATATATATTTAAAAAGTAGCCTGCTCTGTTTGCTCAAACATGGAATTACCTCACTCCTAATGCCTTGGCAGGGCCAGGCCATGTGATTTTGGGGGCCTTATACATAACGTTTCCCACCCCCCCTTTATAATAAAACTAATTGTTAATTAAGTATAGTGCTTTTCTGAGTTTCGGTGAGCTGTTCTAACAAGATATCCAAGCCCGAGTGGGTCCTGGAAACCCTCAACTTTGAAGCCAGTTGGTCAAGTAACACAGGTGGCTCGGGGGCCCCACTGGCAGCGGAAGGAGGGGCAGTCTTGTTGGGAACCATGGCCTTGAACCTATGGAGTCCTGGGTGTGGGGGTGAGTGTGGGGTCGGGGTCGTGGGCAGCTGGCAGGTAGCTGGCCACCCTGAGCCCTCCCCCTGTGGCAGATGCGAAGGCGTCTCAGAAGGACGTGCTGCCTGAGGCTCAGGCCAGCAACCTGGACAGGTGTGTGGAGCTGGCCTGGTCCCAGGCCTTGCTGCAATCTGCGCCCTCCGTGGCTTCTGCCCGAGGGGACGAGGGAGCTGGCTATGCCAACATCTATGGCAACTACCACCCCCTCTTCAACAAACCTCTGCACTTGGGGGGAGAGGAGACAAGGCTGAGCCCACCACCTTGACCCCAGCACCCTCTGGGAACCCCACCCGCCCCCATCTGGTTGCCCCCCACCTGGCTGCCCCCACCTCGCAATGCCAGAACTGAATTGCAATGTCCGAATAGGAGGAATTGGAAACAGCCTTGGTGTTGGCATTGGTTGTGGGGTTGGGATGAGGGTGGGGATGGGGCTGAGAGTGAGGAGTCTGGGATGAGAATGGTGTTGGGGATGGGGATGGATTGGGGTTGGAGATGGGCAAGGAGGAGGGAGGGAAAGGGAGGAGGGAGGAGGGTCTGTCCACTCACTGGAGGCGAAGAACATGATGCCGGTGGAGAAAGGCCTGGAGAGGCGGGCGAAGGTGGGCTGCTGAGCGAAGGCTAGGATGCCCATGACGATGCCGGCGGAGGCACACAGGGAGGACAGGATCATGAAGGCCCGGGTGGCGTTCCAGTATGCTGTGGGAGCACCCGGCGGTCACTCCCAGGCCACCTCTGCCCTCGGTGGGAAAGCTGCTACCTCTGAGAGCATATCCCTGCCAGAGCTTCTCCTTCACCTCTTAACAAGTGCCCTCCTCTCCACCTGGCAAACTCCTACCCATCCCTCAAAACCCAGTTCCCAAATCCCCTCCTCCAGGAAGCATCCCTTTGCCACTCTCGTATCATCCTCACCCCCGGCTCTGGGTGGTGACTTTATCTGTCTCCCCCTCTGGTCTGATTGCTCCCTGAGGACAGGGACTGGGCTGATTCTATGCCAGGAATACCCCCAGCAAAGATTTGGGTTGCATGGGGCCCGGAGAAATGGTTTCTGGGTAAGTGAGTGAATGAATGATGCTGACTCCCCGTATCGTCCTGCTGATCATTCTTTATCCTCTCTCCCACGGCTCTATTGCATTGCCTTCACTCCGCTGGCTCATATCCGAAAACCCGCCCATTTGTTTGTTTTTAACTTGTTTATTTGGTCTGTCTCTCCCCACGGGATTCTCAGCTCTGTGAGGACCAAGGTCTTGCTTTCTCTTTCACTGCTCTACCCCCAGCACCTTAGGCCTGGCCTGTGACAGATGCTCAATATGCGTGTTGAAGGAAAGGGTGTTGAGCACTGGAAATCATTCTTCTCTCTCCCCATAAAGTGTATACTATGGAACATACTGCATCATCGACAGAGATGTGGTATATTACATACTATATCATATATACACTATACACATATATGTGTATAATATACATTGCAAGAGCCCTCTACTGTGAGTACTATTCTTATCCCCATATTTATAACATACACTGAGTGGCCAGATTATGATGATCTCTGAGCACATAATAATCTGGCCACTCAGTGTATATCCTATATAATAAAAGATTAATATGCAAATTGAACCCTTGACCAGGAGTTCGACCAACAGGCAGGCCGGCCAACTGCCCATGTCCCCTCCCCCTGGCCAGGCTGGCTGGACCCACCCTTGCATGAATTCATGCACCGGGTCTATTGAATTCATGCATGGGTGGGGTCTGGCCAGCCTGACCAGTGGGAGGGGACAAGGGCAGTTGGCTGGCCTGCATGCTAGTCGAACTCCTGGTAGAGGGGACAATTTGCACATTAGCCTTTTATTATATATAGGATATACACTGAGTGGCCAGATTATTATGCGTTCAGAGATCATCATAATCTGGCCACTCAGTGTATATTTTAATATATACATACATACACACACACACCTATATACATAGAGTTATATACATGTATATTACACAGCCTGACACAGAGCAAGTTTAGTACCTCATCCAGTATTTAGCAAATTTAGGGTCTGTCTTGCTGACTTATATCCCCCAGTACCTAACAGGTATTATTTTTTCCCAATTATAGTTGACAATCAATATTACTTTATATTAGTTTGTGGTATACAGCATAGCGGTTAGAGAATTACAGAATTTAAGAAGTAATCCCCCCAGCCAAAACCGGTTTGGCTCAGTGGATAGAGCGTCAGCCTGCAGACTGAAGGGTCCCAGGTTCGATTCCGGTCAAGGGCATGTACCTTGGTTGCGGGCAAATCCCCGATAGGGGGTGTGCAAGAGGCAGCTGATGGATGATTTTCTCTCATCGATGTTTCTAACTCTCTATCCCTCTCTGTAAAAAATCAATAAAATATATATATAAAGTAATCCCCCGATACTTCATGTACCCGCTGGCATCCTACATAATTATCACATTATCGCCGGCCATATTCCCTATGCTGTACTTTACATCCCATATCGACGGGGTACCTACCAACCTGTGCTCCTCAATCCCTTCACCTTGTCACCCCACCCTTTTATGGGGTGACCATCAGCTTATTCTCTGTCTGATCTGTTTATGTTTTGTTTGTTCCTTTATTTTCTCTTTTACTTATTTATTTTTTAATATACTTTATTGACTTTTTACAGAAAGGAAGGGAGAGGGGTAGAGAGCTAGAAACACCGATGTGAGAGAAACATCGACCAGCTGCCTCCTGCACGGGATGTGCCCGCAACCAATGTACGTGCCCTTGACCGGAATCGAACCCGGGACCTTTCAGTCCGCAGACCGATGCTCTATCCACTGAGCCAAACCGGTTTCGGCTGTTTTCTCTTTTAGATTCCACGTATAAGCGGAAACCGCATGGCACTTGTCATTTCCTGACTCATGCCGCTCAGCATATTAATGAACATCGTTCTTGATCCATCGTCAATATTTAGAGAACGTTGTTCTGGCGGCCACGGCCCCACCTGCTGTGCCCGACCTCGACTTGTGTCGGACACGTCCCCTCTCCCCACTGAACCCCTCAATCCACACGTTCTGCCACTGCACTGGGGAGGAATACTGAGACCCCAGCCTCCCCCCGTCCCACGCTCATGACCTTGGCTTGACCCTTTCCTTCTCTGAGCCACAGATGTCTCCACCTGCCCCCGCCCGGCCCCGCCCCCGCCCAGAGCCTCACCCACGCTCTCCGCCTGCAGGTAGCACTTGCTGCCCAGGCAGTACCGCCACAGGCCCTGGTGGGCAAAGGCCCCCGACAGCCGGTACTGCATCCAGTGGTCCGTGGCCGTGGCCACCACCAGGAGGGTGGTCCCCACCCAGGCGCAGAAGAGGCCGCCGCCCATGAAGCTGTACATGGCGATCTGTGGGGAAGGGAGAGACGGGGTCAGGAGCTGGACCCCTGGGTCTGAGGGAGGAGGGGCTGGGGGCCGGAAACCCTGGGTATCAGGGATGACGGATTGGGGTCTGGGCTCCTGGGTCTGAGGGAGGAGGGGCTGGAAGCCTAGACCCCTGGGTCTGAGGGAGGAGGGGCTGGGGGCCTGGGCTCCTGGGTCTGAGGGAGGAGAGGCTGGGGGCCTGGGCTCCTGGGTCTGAGGGAGGAGAGGCTGGGGGCCTGAACCCCTGGGTCTGAGGGAGGAGGGGCTGGGGGCCTGAACCCCTGGGTCTGAGGGAGGAGGGCTGGGGGCCTGGACCCCTGGCTCCTGGGTCTGAGGGAGGAGGAACTAAGGACCTAGACCTCTGGGTCTTGGGGGAGAAAGATGCTGGGGGCCTAAGCCCGGAGGTGGTGTGGCACTGGGGCCCGAAATCCCTGGGGGAAGAGGATGGTGGGGTCCGGACTCCTGGGTCCCGGTGTGAAGGGACTAGCTCTGGCACCTCACCAGGCCCCGGGGAAGGGAAGGAGCTGGAGAACTGGGTGCCTAGGTGTTTGGGGTGGCAGGGCTGTGGGTCCCATGCCCGGTCCCTACCTGAATGGCAGAGCCTGTCCTGAGCCCTCCGTCTGCCTCGGCCCCTCGGAGAGGACTGAGCCGAGCCAGGGTGCTGGCCTCTCTGCTCCCCGGGCTCCCCAAATCCCTTAAGCCTCCCCACACAATGGTCCGGCAGCCCAGCAGCTTCCAGCAGGCAGAAGTGCAGCGGTGGCAGAGGCCCCAATGGAATTCGCTGAAGCAGGAGTCCAGGCCTCCCTCCCTCCCTCCCTGCACCCCCAGGCTCCACCGGCCTCTCCCGGTGACCCCCGACGACCCTCCCCCCGTCACAGGCCTTGCTCACCACACCCACTGGGTGGGCCTGAGCTGCGTAAGCACACACAGAGACGCAAGGCATAGGGACATGCATCCATTTATTGTTCAACCGGGTCCCCCACTCCCAAGGGCGGGAAAGGGGGTGATGTCTGGGAAATACTGAGTGGGGCGGGGGGGGGGGGGGGACGGTGCAGGGAGAGAAATGCTTTGTGGATGAGGTCAGAGGGCACGTCACATTGGGGCCAGGACAGGAAGGACGCTGAGGGTGAGATGGGGTGGAAGACAGGCTGGAATTGGGGCTGAAGCTGAGGATGAAGTGAGGACAGGGTTGGCCTGACGTGGGTGGGGGGTGGGGGTGGGGGGTGAGGATGCAGACGCTGGGAATGAGGGAGACTCAGTAGAGATGGGGACAGAGGCAGGAATGGGCGGGGGGAGGATCGGGGAAAGGGTACTGAGTGGGGGTTGGGATGGGGTTGCAGAGGCCGGTGACTGGCTTTGCGGTTGAGAACCGGGTCAGGGTCAGGGTAGGGAACGAGCTGAGGGCTGTGGCTGCAGGTGGGCGGAGGGCGGGGTGCTGGAATGGGGAGAGGCCCTGGGTATGGGGTGCAAGGTTTGGGGTGCTAAGTCAGGGTCAGGTTTCAGCAGGGGGCCCCCAGGCCTGCTGCTGAGGCCCTGATTTTGGGGGAGGGGGAGCGAGGACGGGGTATCTCTGAAGGGACTGAGGTCCCCCTTGGGCTCCAGGACCTTCTTGGCGACCCTGAGTGGGCCCCGGATGCCCAGATGCCGTCCGGATCCTAGTACTCAATGTCCCAGTCCTCGGTAGCAGGTGGCGTGGCCAGGGGTGGCTCCGGATGCCCTGCTTCCTTCTTCCCCTCCTGGGCAGGCAGTGCTGGGGGTGATGACGGCATCCTGGGAGGGGTCCCGGGGCCAGCCCCGGAGTCCCCTGCCCAGGCCGGCTTGGGCTGCTCAGACCTCCCAAGGCCCCGTGCCCTCCGCCCCCGGTCCCGGCCCCGGCCCCGGCCCCAGCCTGGCCTGGGAGGGACGTCCCAGTCCCCACCCCCCCTGAACAGCCTCCTGGCTTCGGCCTGGGGCCGGGGGTCGGGAGCCTGGGGGTGGCAGGTGCAGGAGGGCAGGGACTGCTGGAGGTTGCGGGCCCCCAGCAAGGCGCTGTGCAGGAGGTAGGACAGGGCGTCCAGGCGGATGGGCACGGTGACCGAGGCCAGGCTCTCGGGGAGCCCCAGGTGTGCCGGGTCTGGGGCGCCCAGGCCTGGGAAGGGCATGGGGGGCCAGGGCCCAGGCCCAGGAGGCGGCAGGTTGTTCCTGGAATGGCAAGAGGGGACAGGTCAGCGGCTCCCACCGTCCACACACCTTGTCCGGGGCAGCCGGGCGGCCTCTCTGCCTGCAGGGGCCCATCTCCCCATCCTGGCTTCTGCGTCCACCTCGGGCGCCCTCACCCCCCTTCGCCCCACCCCCTCTCCTCCCACGCCTCTCTCTCTCTCCTTTCGCAGAGAAATGTTCCCACCCAGCTCACGTTCCCACGCTAACCTCGAGTTTTCCTACCGAAACGTGCCTTTGGGTGGTACCCAAGGTGCCTGTGAAACGGCTGGGTCTGGGACATGTTCAAGAAATGCAGTTATTAATAATAATTATTATTATAATAATAATTATTTTTAAATATATATTTTATTGATTTTTTTTTCAGAGAGGAAGGGAGAGAGGGATAGAGAGTTAGAAACATTGATGAGAAACATCGACCAGCTGCCTCTTGCACACCCTCTACCAGGGATGTGCCCGCAACCAAGGCACATGCCCTTGACCGGAATCAAACCTGGGACCTTTCGGTCCGCAGGCCAACGCTCTATCCACTGAGCCAAACCAGTTTCGGCTAATTATTAATTATTATTACTTCTCCAGTCCTATGGCTGTTCCTGGCATTTTTAAAAATGTATTTTATTGATATTTTCCAGAGAGGAAGGGAGAGGGATAGAGACTTAGAAACATCAAAGAGAGAGAAGCAGCCAGGACCGGTTTGGCTCAGTGGATAAGGCGTCAGCCTGAGGACTGAAAGGTTCCGGGTTCGATTCTGGTCAAGGGCATGTACCTTGGTTGAGGGCACATCCCCAGTAGGGGGTGTGCAAGAGGCAGCTGATCAATGATTCTCTCTCATCAATGTTTCTAACTCTCTGTCCCTCTCTCTTCCTCTCTGTGAAAAATCAATAAAGTATATAAAAAAAAAACAAAAACAAAAACAAAGAGAGAGAAGCATCAATCAGCTGCCTCCTGCACACTCCCCACTGGGTACGTGCCTGCAACCCAGGTACATGTCCTTGACTGGAATTGAACCCGGGACCATTGTGTCCGCAGGCCGCCGACGCTCCATCCACTGAGCCAAACCGGTTAAGGCTGTTCCTGGCATTTTCCATTCTCCTGGTTCATGCTCGACATTTCTCTCCGTCCCAGGAATATCTGTTTCTAGCTCTCTCCCTGGTCCTAAGTATCTTGCTCAGTTCGGTCCCCAAGGTCCTGTTTCTGGACAATGTTGCCTGAAACTTTATTGTTTCTCTGATGCTCTGAGCTGGGGGTGGGGGGAGCGGTCAGTTCACTTCCCTCTGATTTTCTCTGTCCCCTCCCCTCTCCGGGGCCTGTCCTCCCGCGGGAGGTCTTGAGTGTCTCACCCGTCCGGGCCCGTCTCTTCCTTCTGCTGCTCCATCTGCACGAGGGTCCCTCGAGTCTCTTCTAGCACCTTCTGCAGGATTTTTCCAGGGCCAGCGAGGTGGGAGGGGTCCGGGCAGAAAGTGGGCGGGGCTTGTCAGAAGGGGGCGGGGCCTGTAAGGCATGAAGACCCTTGGAAATGATGCGGAGCAGAAGGTAGTTCCTCAAGCAGACCCAGGGGTCTAGACCCCCAGGCCCCCTCCCTCAGACCCAGGAGTCCAGGCCCCTAGCCCCTCCTCCCTCACACCCAGGGGTCCAGGCCCCCAGCACCCCCTTCCTCAGACCTGGGAGCCCAGGCCTCCAGCCCCTCCTCCCTCACACCCAGGGGTCCAGACCCCCAGCCCCTCCTCCCTCACACCCAGGGGTCCAGACCCTCAGCCCCTCCTCCCTCAGACCCAGGGGTCCAGGCCTCCAGCCCCTTCTCCCTCAGACCCAGGGGTCCAGGCCCCCAGCCCCTCATCTCTCAGACCCAGGGGTCCAGGCCCCCAGCCCCTCCTCCCTCAGACCCAGGGGTCCAGGCCCCTCCTTCCTCAGACCCAGGAGTCCAGGCCCCCAGCCCCTCCTGCCTCACACCCAGGGGTCCAGGCCCCCAGCCCCTTCTCCCTGAGACCCAGGGGTCCAGACCCCCAGCCCCTCCTCCCTCAGACCCAGGGGTCCAGGCCCCCAGCCCCTCCTCCCTCAGACCCAGGGGTCCAGGCCCCCAGCCCCTCCTCCCTCAGAGTGGCCAGATTATTATGCGTTCAGAGATCGTGTATATGCAGTACTGTAAATGTATTCCCTCTCCCTTATGATTTCCTGATAACATTTTCTTTTCTTTAGCTTAGTTTACTGTAAGAATACAGTTTATAATGCATATAACATACAAAACATGTGTACTTGTCTTCATTTTTTTATTCCATAAAGTTCCTGGTCAACAGTAGGTTGTACGTGGTTAAGTTTGGAGGGAGTGGAAAGTTACACCCAAGAAAAGTCAACTGCACAGAGGTCAGCACCCCTAATACACACACTGCTCAAGAGTCAGCTAACTGCGTGCTAGCTGGTTTGGCTCAGTGGTTAGAAGGGTCCTGGATCTGATTCCAGTCAAGGGCACACTCCTGGGTTGCAGGCTCAATCCCCATTGGGGGGGGGGGGGTAGGCATGCAAGAGGCATTCAATCAGTGACTCTCTCTCATCATTGATGTTTCTGTCTCTCTCCCTTTTCCTTCCTCTATGAAATCAATTTAAATATATTATATATTATATATACTTTTAATTGTATTTTGGAGGAAGAACTATCAGGACTTGCTGAAGGACTGCTGAGGTGGGTAATGGGGGATCCATGAAGGGGACCCAAGTCCTCAGTCCCTTTGAACATGGCTCTTCAAGAAGAGGTTACAGCATCCCACTTTAAGGATGAGAAATCCCAGATACTAACGTTCACTTTCTGAGTTCGCTAAAATGCTGGCCTTTCGCTGGTGATGCCAAAATGATGCAGAATCGGTATCTGACCTCTGAGGGCTCTCTCAGCCTTAAAGGGTGGGGTGCAGACACAGAGATGGACAAGTGACATTGCAGGATGACCAAGGCCAGGACACCGGGAGGAACTGGGAGTGGTGAGTGCCCCAGGGAAAACAGTGTTGCTTGCAGGCAAAAGGTGGAGGGGGGTGTCAGGGGAAGTGGTTTTAGAGAAAGTGGCCCCATGATCAGTGGCCATGTGTCTGGAATCTAAGGATTCTTATTGCCCTAACTGGTTTGGCTCAGTGGATAGAGCCTCAGCCTAGGGACTCAAGGGTCCTAGGTTCGGTTCCGGTCAAAGGCCATGTACCTTGGTTGCAGGCACATACCCAGTGGGGGGCATGCGGGAGGCAGAAAATAGAATATATTTAAATAATATTTTCATCAAGGAAAGCTTTTGCCCAAGCGGTGGTAGCTCAGTGGTTGAGCGTCTACCGGTGAACCCAGAGATCACGATTCTATTCCCAGTCAAGGGCACATGCCTGGGTTGCGGGTTCGATCCCCAGTGGGGAGCGTGCAGGAGGCAGCCGATAAATGATTCTCATTGATGTTTCTCTCTCCTATCCCTCTCTGAAATCAATAAAAATATATTTAAAAAAAAAAAAAAAGAAGAAGAAGAAGGAGAAGGAAAGCTTTTCTTTCCTGGAGACTATGATGAGGATCTGGGTCCCCATATTTGAACTTTGGGTCTACCCATCGCTTACACCTTATCCCAAAGAGGCAACTTATATGTCTAGACAGGGTTTTGTAACTTCAGGGCTCGAATCGCTGCTGTTTTTACCCAGCACGTTGCTTAGGGTTTTTGAGTCAACGTTTCTTTGCAGAGATAGCGCTTCTGCTCAATTCCAGTTTAAGGGGAGCTCTCCAAGTTTAGGTTTCTCCTACACCTGTGATCAAGGTCTGACTTCTTCAAGTACTCGGTACCTGGTCCTTTAAGGCTCTCCTCCCACGCTGAGAGAGAGGAGGCGGGATCTTACACAGCTGTCTTTCAAAATTGACAGCCCCAGTTCGGAAAAGTGACCAATAAATTCCCGTGTCGCGGTGGGGGGGGCGGGGCGGGGGAGAGGAGTGAAGCTTCCGATTCGCAGGGGACCAACTCGGCCCCGTGCACTCCTTGCGCTGTGATCCAGCGCCCGACAGCGTCCTCGACTCTGATTGACGAGTGAGCTTGAGTGGCGTCCCGCCTCCGCTCTTTGATTGGCCACATTCCTGAGCGCGAGCCTCTTTCTTGCTCTCTGATTGGCTGTCCTCTTTCCGGGTCTGTTTCTCCGGCTGTAACTGACTTTTTTTTTTTTTTTTGCTTTGGCCTCCAGTGGTGGCTGTTGTCTGCTCCGGAAAGGTCTCTTCCGCCGCGCGATCAGATCGATCAGATCGAAGCTGGGAGAGGACGGGGGCCCTGGGCTGGGCTGAGGGGGCATTTCGCCCATGGAGCCCCATTGCCCTTCCCCAGCCTTAGGGCCGACTCCTCCTTTCACCTCCCCCCACCAGGCTTCGTACTGTCAAGGATGCAAGAATTGACCTTTAGGCTCACGGATGCCCCCAAGGCCCCCTTCACTCCACTTCCGGCCCCTCCGGACACCCCGGGGGACCCCGCGCTCTCCCCTGAGCCTTCTCCATTCTTTCAACCCTTCCATCTTGGAGTCCCCTGTCATCTGCTTCCCACCCGCTGGGAGGAAGGGGGGCTCTCCCCTCACTGCTCCCCTTTCAGCCCTTCAAGGCCCAGGGGTCACCTGGAGACTTTGACCCAAGAGTTCTGTCTGCACCCCTTATTTCTAGCGCCCCGGGCCCCTCAGATGACCCGGGGAACCCTGCGGACTCCAAGGAGGGGGTCCCATCCTTCCTGGGGTTTATGCCTCCCCCCATGGCTCCCCTCGTCTAGGCCCTTGAGGATGAAGGTCAGGACCTGCCCCGCTCAGTTCAGCCTTCCCCGTTTCCCTAGTCTTCCTGATCCTTCCTTGGGAAGTCCTAGAACCCTGCTAGGTGTAGAGGGGGGGAGGGGGAGGGAGGATATATTGAGGGCCCCCACTCTTTTAGGGGTCCTCGGCATCCTTCAGTGTCCAGGGCAGGTCTCCAGGGAAATTTCTACCTTTGGATCCATATTCCTTCCCCTTCCTTTTCCCTGTTCTTAGGGTCCAACCCTCACTGCCATTCTCCTCTCCCCTACCCCACTCCCTTTTAATACGTGTTTTATTGACATTTTTGAAATTCAGGAAGTCATCTTTAAGGTCCCCCCCTTCCCCCTTCCTGAGGTCTCTGCCAGCTCCTCCTCTGCCAGGTTCCCTGCCCCTTAGGATCCACCATCTCCTGAAGCTCCTCCCCCATCCCCCACCTCACTGCCAGCTCCTTCACATCCAGATACCCCAGGGCGTCCTTCACAGAAAAGGGGGTCATTCCTGCCCTATGAACCCCAGTCTGCCTACTTAGGGGCTCCCCTGTCACTTCCTCCTCCCTCCACCCTTCACTGTCAAGAGTCCTGCTCAGGGATTATCCTCAGGGCCTCTCCCTCCTTTGGAATTGCCTCTTCCCCCTTAGACAGACATTGAGGGCAATCTATACTGATAAAAGAGTAATATGTAATTAGACTGGAAGACCTTCCAGATGACCTTCCGGATGTCCTTCTGGACAAAACCGGAGGCAGCGGCTGCCTGAGGCTCAGGCAAGCCACGGATGGCAGCTGTGGCTGCCCAAGGACAGTCTGAGGCTCACCTAGGGGGCGATCAGGCCAGCAGGGGAGCCGTTAGGGGCATCAGGTTGGCAGGTAGGCAAGTGGTTAGGAGCCAGTGGTCCCGGATTTCGAGAGGGATGTCCAACTCCCAGTTTAGGCTCGATCCCTGATTGGAGAAAGTGTGTCCAGGCTGAGGGACACCCCTCCATGCACGAATTTCCGGGCCCCTAGTCTTTTTCATAGTTACCCCTGTTGAGGGAGTCAACTTTGGGGCTTCCCCAGGTTTTGAAAATTCCCACACAGCACCTCCCAAACTCGCTAACTGTCCCCTGAGCCACAGAGATCAGAAGTTACCTTCCCCATTCAGAGGGTGACCTTGGCACCACCCTTTGCCTTAGGAGTCTCCCCACCCTAAGCTGACTTCCTCTTTCTTCTTTAACGTCTTTTTATGTGTTTCCGAGAGAGAGAGAGAGAGAGAGAGAGAGAGAGAGAGAGAGAGAGAGGGAGAGAGAGAGAGAGAGAGAGAGAGAGAGATAGAAACATCAAGGATGAGAGAGAATCATTGATTGGCTGCCTCCCGCACGCACGGCCCCTACTGGGGACTGAACCCACACCCTGGGCACATGCCCTTGACCGGAATCGAACCTGGGACCCTTCAGTACCTAGGCCAACACTCTATGCATTGAGCCAAACCAGCCAGTGCTGATCCTTCTTCCTCTTATACCGACCTCCTCACCCTCGTGGAAGGACCTACATCCTCTATTCCAGTGATCCTCAACCTTCCTAATGCCACGACCCTTTAACACAGTTCATCATGTTGTGGTGACCCCCAACCATAAAATTATTTATAAAATTACAAGTTGCTACTTTGTAACTGTAATTTTGCTACCGTTAATCGCAATGCAAATATCTGTGTTTTCCGATGGTCTTAGGCAACCCTGCTAGGCGACCCACAGGTTGAGAACAGCTGCTGTAGAGCTTAAGACCATCGGAAAACACAGATATTTGCATTATGATTCATAACAGTAGCAAAATTACAGTTATAAAGTAGCAACGAAAATAATTTTATGGTTGGGGGTCACCACAACATGAGGAACTGTATTAAAGAGCTGGGGCGTTAGGAAGTTTGAGAACCACTGCTCTAGACCAAAAGGTTCCTTTCAAGTCCTCTCTCTAGGATTCTCCACCAGCTTTCCTCCTTCTCCAGTCGCTATCCTAAGGCCCCCCCCCTTTTTTTTCTCAGTCCCCCCCATCATCGATGCTCACTCTCAGGCACCCTTGGGTTATATTCAGCATCCAGGCCACCAGCCTTAGGCTAATATGTGCATCCTCCTGTTGTAGGCAGACAGACAAACAGACAGACAGGAGAAGAGCAAGGACGATGGGTACCGGTCACCTAGGTGGGAAGCCCCAGGTGCCTAGCAACGGACAATTGATGGCAAGGCAGGATCTTGTCCCCCCAAGGTGACCTTTTCTCCCCCAGAAGATTGCTGGTCAGAAGGTTTGGACTCCCCCGACCTTAACTCCCTAGAGATGACATCTGGACTCAAGTTGTAGTTCAGCTCCAGGCCCAGCATAAGTAACAAACACAGCCACGGGTGAGGTCAGGGGCAGCTGCACGGAATAATGACCTCATGTACTGGTGCCAGCCAATCAGTGTAGAGACCACAACCCTGAATGGACACACCTGGAAAGCGAGGAATATTCTAGAATATTCTACTGAGCTCTTCCCCTGGGACCTCCCCTGAAACCTCCACCTTAAAACCCTCAGGATGAGGACTGAGGGGACTCTCCCTCCCAGGAGCATGCACTTGCCTTCCCCCTTCTCCCTTCCCCTCTGATTCCCCCTCCCTCCCCAAGCACCTTACCATGAGCTCCCTCACTCCCAAGCTCCAAAGGCCCTTCCTTGGCCTCTGTAACCCATTTCCTAAGCCCATTTCTTCCAAGAGTTAACTTTTCCTGTCTCTGTCATTTACCTAGCAAACGTTCTCTGGCAGTTTGGGCCTGGACTCTGAATCCTGCCCTCGCCAGAACCCAAGTACGGAGGTTGCTGAACCCAGGTTGGTTCTGACCCCACCGGGTCAGACACCTTGGTGCCACTCCCACCGCCTACATCATGCCCTCACCAGCATAACATCCTGTGCTCTCTCCCCCTTTCCGCACATCTGGGGCTGCCCGCTCCTGCCCTCGCAAACACCTTCACCAGAATCGACTTTGGGAGTCCCCCTCAGGGACCTTCTCACATCCATCACACACAGAAGCCCCTCCTCATCCCCCGTGGCTTCAGGATTCCTGAGCCCCTCTTAACTCCTTCCCCCACGTGAGAAGGCCCCGCCTCTTAGACCTTCCCAGCTGCCAGACTCCCAGTCCAGCTTCCATAGCCTTCGGCCAGCTATCACTGCTCAGACCCATCGCCACCTGGAGCCGTGGAGCTGGGTGGTTTTGCCCACAACCCAGAAAATGGCCAGGGTACTTGGCAAGGTTGCTGGGATGAGTGTGAGGTTAGAGGTCAGGTTTGTGGACTGAGGTCTGTGCTGAAATGAGTCCCCTTAGGTTTAGGTGGCTACTGTGGATGGTCTTCAGACTCTTTGAAATCAAGGACTTGCCAGAAGTGTCTGCTAAACATGGCAGTGGGAGTCTGGAGGCCAGACAGTCCCCATGGCATGTCCACTTGCATGATTTCATTTAACTCCTCATCTTTGAAAAGGAGATCAGTATATTTTCTATTCCTGTCATCTTGTGGCACGGTAAAGTTCACTCCTCGTGGCGTACAGTTCCGAGTTTTGGCGAATGCATACGGCTGTGTGACCGTGACCACAAACAAGACACAGGACATCCTGTCATCCCTCAAACGCTCTTGCCCTGACCCTTTGTCAGAATCCCTTCTAATAAAACACCCAGCGCCTTTCTGGAGGACCACCTGGCCTTGTCTAGCAATGCTGGGAGGACACAGCCCCTTAGACCTGAGATGGCGATTGCCAAGGGGTCACCGATGGGCAGATCAGTGCCCTCGCCTTTTACTGACCAATGAGAAGTGGCTCAGAGAAGTGACTCATGTCCTATTGGCAAACATACAGCAAAACCAGCCAGGGCTACACCTGTGATTGTGACTTATTTTTCTTCCACACACTGCATTCCAGAACTAGTGGTGGTGGTGGTGATCCTATATGTATGCAAATTGACCCTCACACCTTCACAAGATGGCTGCCTACGACCAGGCTGGCAGGGGGGTTAGTGAGCAATGACCAAACAACTGAAGAAGCAGGCTGCATGGGGCAACTAGGCCTGTGGAGGGGTTAGTGAAGGACGACCAAATGACTGAACAGTAGGCTGCATGGAGCAACCAGGCTGGCCGGGGGAGGCAGTTAGGGGCAACCAGACCAGCAGAGGGGGGCAGTTGGGGGCAATTAGGCTGGCAGGGGGTACAGTGAGAGGCGACCAGGCCAGGAGGCAGGGTAGTTAGGGACAATCAGGCTGGCAGAGGAGGGCAGTTGGGGGCAACCAGGCTGAGGGGGTAGGCAGTAAGGGGTGACTAGGCAGGCAGGCATATGAGTGATTAGGAGCCAGTGGTCCAAGGAGAGGGTGTAGGCTGAGCTGAGGGGACCCAAGCACTTTTATCTACTTCATTCACAACAGCCCTAATAGGTATTATTATTATTCTCATTTTACAGAGGAGGAAACTAAATCATGGGGAGGTTAATGACTTGCCCAAGGTCATACAACTGCATGTATGGCTTTTCTGTGTGTGTGTGTGTGTGTGTGTGTGTGTGTGTGTTAAAATTGTTATAAGAGTTTATTTGAGCCGACAAATGCCTGGGAGCAAGATCTCAAATACCCTAGTGTCTGGCCTCTCTTAGCTGCTCTGGCTGTGTATTTTCTTAGGTTTGACTTCTTGAAGACAGTGAAGGAATTCTAAATGGATGAATTAGGTGGAAATCCACCTGTGTAAGGGGGGTCCTCCGGTGATGGCTTCCGGAGAGGATTGAGAGCAGTGTCGGGGGATTTGGGACAGGGTACCTGTAATTCAGGGTAAAAAAAAAAAAATTAAGCCTGAGGACTTCTCAGTGCACATTTCTGGCCAATGCTCAACTCGCTGAGCCACAGCGGCCGGGGCTCCTCCTGGCTTTTGTCCTTTATAACAAACCTGTAACCATGGGCAATGCTTTCCTGGGTTCTCTGAGTCACAATGGCAAAAGATTGAACCTGAGAAGGTCACGGGGACCTCTGAGTCTGTAGCTCTTTGGCCGGAGGTGTTGGTGGCCTGGGATCTCTGAGCCTGTGGCTGGAGCTGATGTGGGTGAAGAGGAAGTACAGCCCACACCCCACAGCCCAGCGTGGTTGGAACGTGTGAGTCAAGTGGGCCCCGAGGAGGGTGGCTGGTCTCAGCCTCCTGGAGGGCCTCTCACCCAGGAGGGCAGCAGGAGGCTGGGAGGTGTGTGCCGGTGGTGAAATGTGTGTGTGAAGGTCCTGGCTTATGCAATAACGACTTGGGACTTGGCGGGAAGGAGGTGTGTTGTTGTCCAGTACTCTCAGGGAAAGGCAGTGCGGTGTGTCGACGGGAAGGACAAAAGAGACAAAATGAATAAACACTACCAGGTCCAGAGTGGGAAGACTCAGCTCTGATTTTCTGCATTGCCAGATACCCTCTATAACCAGTTATCAGAGACTATCAACTCCTGGAAAGGGCCCCCTGGGAAGGCATATGGACATTCTTTAAATTGTTGTC